CATGTGTCTGAGGACAGCATAAAGACATAAATATGCTCTCTAGATTGGGGGGAAAAAAAAAAAAAAAAAAAAGCAAGCAGCAGAATGAAGCTGTAGTCCGGCTCTGCCTTGTTTGATGTATATGCAGGTAAACCATAACGAAGTACATAATGGCTGAGGTGAATAGATAGAACTACAAACCCTTCATATGTGTTGCAGAAGCCAAGAGCCAGCCAAGCAGCAACAATTCAACTCACCGTAATGTAACTTAAACTTCAGGAAATAAAGCTGCCCATTTTCTTTAAAGGAAGGTTTTTCTTTACTATAAATTTATCAGTGTTGAGTTCATTTGGGGATTTTGGGCAGGAAGAAGTGAGTTCTGGAGGTACCTTCTCTAGAGAAAATCCAGATTTCCCTTGCAAACTTAGCTGTGGCCTTTGAGGTTTTTTTCTTCTTTCTTCTCCTGAAGAAGAAATGTTTCTTACATTTGCAAATTATTTTCCCTCTTTTTCAATAAATGCTTGTGGAAGAGGAGAGAAAGGGTTTGGCAAGAAAAAGTCAGAGAAGGGGGCTTGAATTACCGTAGTCTGAAATTGAGCCCCTAAAGAAATTACTGCATCAGAACATTTTCACCCCCGACATTAAACTTGGCTAATTGAAACATTTTCAAATGCATGACAAGGGGAGTTGAGAATATTTCCAAGAGGCAGGAAGAGGACTGACAAATTCAGTCCTTACCAACCCTAATTTTTTAAGTAATAAGGAATTTCTGGGGTGTGAACTTGGAATCTATCTTGCTCTACGTTTTGGCCTTCTTGGCTTGCTTAAATCAAGTTCTCAGCCTATCAAGAACTTGGTGCGTTAAGGTTGGTGTGCAGGCTTATACCTGTACCTCAGGCATCATCTAGGCTGTGGTAGCTGCCGCTGTGCTGGCTCATCCCGCGCTGCAGGCAGCGCTGCCGGCAACACAGCTGCCTACCGCCCTTTCCCTGCAAGACGAGCTATTCCCACCTAGCAGGGGAGAAGCCACCCCGGCGCAGCCGCGTGCCCCACGTCCCCATTTCCAGTGCCCTACCCTGACGCTGCCATCTCTCCCACAGACGTACAGGAGGTGGAGCTCCGAAGGCCGGGGTGGGAGACGAGGCCACGACGCCCCCATGATCGCCTACGACGCCCTGATGGGCTGCGGCGGGGACTGGACGGAGCTCTGCAACCGCTCCATGTTCCACGGAGGTGAGAGCCCTCCGCGGGGGCGGGAGAGAGCCCTCCCGGCTGATGGCTGACAGTGTTGGCCAATCTGCCATGATGCCTGTTATGTCTGCACCCTGGTTTTACCCCCTAAACCTCCTTCTTGTGGCAGGGCACCCTGGTTTTCCCCCCTAAACCTCCTTCTTGTGGCAGCAGCTGCCACGCAGGCCATTCACACTGCTTTACAAATGTTGCTCCAAGACTCACAATTTTGAGAGGTGCATGAGAAGTAAATCCAATATGACTTAGTAAAGGGCTGGCATCTTCCCTCACCAAAATGCTAGTGCCTTTGGCAATGAAACCTTTTAACTGCACATAGTGAAACAAAGACAGCTCACGTCCCCTTGCTGCAGAGCCTGGCAGGCACAAACCTGCGAGCACCGCACAGACCATCGGTGCTACTCACCATGGCTAGATGTTTTAAAGCACGCGCAATGCCATGCTGTGCTGTTAGGAAGGAAGGTACACTCTCCAATTCACGACATCTGCCATGTAGCAGGGACCCCTGCAATTACCCTTCCCTCCTTTTTTCCTAACAATGGCTAGCTGCTTGCAAGAGCTGCTGTGTTGGAGTGGATCATAGAATCACAGAATCATAGAATCATTTAGGTTGGAAAAGACCTTTAAGATCATCAAGTCCAACCATTAACCTAACACTACCAAGTCCACACTAAACCAATCAAGGGTAGAGTAGCAACCCCATGCCTCCTGGCTTGGTGGCTGGATCATTTATAATGAAAGTAAAAACTAGGAATCATTAAGATTGGAAAGGACCTCTAAGATCATCAGTCCAATCATCAACCCAACAACACCATGCCCACTAAACCATGTCCCACAGTGCCATGTCTACCTGTTTTTTGAACACCTCCAGGGATGGTGACTCCACCACCTCTCTGGGCAGCCTGTTCCAATGCTTGACCACCCTTTCTGTGAAGAAATTTTTCCTAATATCCAATCTAAACCTCCCCTGGTGCAGCTTGAGGCTGTTTCCTCTTGTCCTATCATTATCGACTTGGGAGAAGAGCCCAACACCCACCTCACTACAACCTCCTTTCAGGTAGTTGTAGAGAGCGATAAGGGCTCCCCTCAGCCTCCTCTTCTCCAGGCTAAACAACCCCAGT